TTAGCAGAACTCTCCTGAGTCATTCCTGTTTTGCTTACAAAGTAGCCAGAGAATCCCTATGTGTGAGCCTGAGTCCTACCAACAGGCAATGACTAAAAGCAGACTGCTGGAATGCGGCCAGCAGTTCATCAGGAAGACAGTCTTGAACGTGGGGAAAAGACAGGTGGCACACAGGGAGTGGGGGCAGCTTTCTAACCGGCAATAAAGAGGGGTGGACCTGGACTGCCTGCACCTTGGCTCCTGCACAGAGATCTTCTCTGGAAGCAAGTGGTCTGACTGCAGGGAGCCACATGCAAATCAAGTCTTCAACTCAAACTCCCAGTTCGCCTCCTCATGGCTGCTCTTTCTTAGTCTACTTGAGCGTGGCACGACTAGCTGCATAAAGGGGAAGGGGGTTGATCCCACTTTAAAAAAGAATGAATCTGTGTCTCAAGCATTGACCCCTGGTTTTGTCCAGCTTCCTTCCTCTGCCTGCTCTGTTCTCACACTCCAATGCTGAGGTCTGGCCTCATTCCTTTTCCTTGCTCGATTAGGTGTCCTTTAAAAATGTTTTTACCCAGAGACCACTGTCCTTTGAAAAGAAGGACAGCACAGGTCCCAAAAGGGCATGCCTGCTTCCAAAAATCCATCTGACATGCGGGCAAAGGGTGTGTCCTTAAAGACTGCCCATCAATAAGCTATAGCTACCTGAACTGTGGTATCTGAAGTCTTCCTGGCTACCAGCAGTCCACCTTTCGAGGCCCACCAGGTACTTTCTAGGTGTGCTTTACAACCTGAATTGCTGACCCTCTCCTGGAGGCAAAGCCCCTCTGTGGCGTGCTGTGAGACAGGATACTCTGGGCTGAACCCCAGTTCTGCCTGCGTGACCTCGGGCTTCCGTTTCCTTGTCTGAGAAATAGGAAGAGAAGGCGGCTTTCTAAGGACTAGATGAACTATAATCGATGTGCAGTGCCTGGCATGACGCTTTGTGTGTGTGTGTGTGTGTGTGTGTGTGTGTGTGTGTGTATGCACACACGCTATTATTGTCTTCAGTATCTCATGTTCCGCCATCAGGCCAAGTGACTGACGAAGGAGTTCCCATGATGCCATCCTGTCCGTATGAGTGTCTCACCATCACTGGTCCTGCTTCTCTGCCCTATCCTACTTGTTCTATAGGGCGCTTGAACTTTGCACTGTGTCTCCTCTGCTCTCCGACCGCGAGCCTGGGGACCTGGGGGACCCAGTGACCTCTGAGTGGTGGCTTCATCACACAGCGCAGGCTGTCTTCTTTTCTGACGGGGACAGCTTGGCGGACTTAGTCAATCCTCCAAGTTACAAAATCCTTAAGGAGTTGAGACACTCAAGGCCACAATCAGTATTCTGAACATCAGCCCGTGAACCCAGCACAGAAGGTGTTGGGGACACAACTGGCAGGAGCTAAATGAGGCTTCCTCTGCGAGTCACAGTTTGGTCAAAGGCCTGTCTCACCTGGATGAGGTACAGCAGTGCTTCCTGAAGTTGGAGCTTGCTAAGTGGGCTGCTGGTGATAGCAGAAGGCTCTGGGTTCTGCAGAGGCAGGAAGAGGCTGGCGGAGGCAGCAGCTGGTTCTTGGCTCCCCAAGGGCAGGAGTCCACCATCCCTCTCCTTTGCAGCGGTGGAGGTGGACTGCGTGAACACCATGGGGGACATGAGCAGAGGAGGGGCCGCTGAAGCCGGGATGCGCTGAGGGGAGATGACCTGCTCGTAGCAAACACAGACATGGAGGGCGGGATTGAGTGGCATCTCATTAAGATGACAGGTGAGTTTAAATATTCCCTGGGTGGGAAAAGTTTCTAAGATAACCGAGTGCTGTTCGAGTCTCCACATATTCCCCTTTGTTGTAACTCAGAGCTCCGGCACGCCGTCTACATAGCACTGGTGTGCAGCATGGAAAGCGTGGCCTATGAGTAATACTTTTCGGGTTTACTATATGACTTGGTCCCGTGCAAAAGGACATGTGGGCTGTTTGCTTAGGGATAAAGCCGACTCCCATTGCGAGTCATAGTGACCCTGTAAGGCAGAGAACCACTCCTTAGGGCTTCCAAGACTGTACATCTTCACAGGAGTAGACAGCCTCATCTTCCTCCTTTGGAGAAGCTGCTGGGTTTGAACTACCAACCTGTGGCTAGCAGTCCTGCGCTTAGAGACCCACTATGACAGCTGGGCTCCTTTTCCTCAGGGAGTTACTGGACTTGTTACGGGGCGTGCACAGTGCCCGCTCCTGGTTTCTCCAGTGGAAGACTCACTGTGAGAGGGCACACCTGGTGGCCTCTCTTGGGCTCCTTACTGGAGCAGATTTCTTCGGTAACACCCCTTCTGGGGCCTTCCCTGTCAGGCTCTGCCTGCTAGCAGGGAGCAGCATGTTCTGTTTCTCCTGCCTCAGGGGTTGGGCAGCAGGGCCCCTGGGGCACTAGTTACTGCACAGCAGCCCAGCGGCTTATCTGCTGTCAGGGAGAATCTGTCTAATTCAGGGGGCGAGGTTAGCGAGTTCACGTGGACAACAGACTTACAGCCACGTTTTCCAGGAGCCTCCATCAGTTAGGTAAGTGGCATTTGGATCGCTTGCTGGCTGACTCCCACCATCCTCTCTCCTCTGCTTCCCACTCAGATGAGATTGGGAAATGTTTTCATCCACCCCCCTAAGACCCCTCCCCCCCAGGACTGCATGAGAAGGGAGGCTACGGGCCAGCAATCAAGAAGTTGCTGTAATTTATAATCGCTCCCTTGGCATCTCTGGGGGTGGCAGCTCCCCTAGAGGAGAGCAGGCTGTCTGTTTTTTGCTCTTGCCCCTGCTTGGTATCTGGACAGAAACTCCCTGAGGAGTCCCAGCACCGTTTTGGAGAACCAAGTGGGCCGACCAAACGCGCATGCGCCTTGCGGCTCTCCACGCGTGTGCGTGCTGAAAAGGAAAGACCCACACGCAGGCATTTCCGTCTCGTGGCTCATCCCAACCTTTAGCGTCCAGCGCTGCATCAGCAGGCAGACGGAGCGCAGACATGCAGAGGAAACACTACACTGCAATTCGGGGAAGCGGGAGGGGCAAACACCGCTTCTCCTGCAGCGGGAACTCAGATTGATTTGGCATTTGTAACAAGTAGTAAACAAGAGCACGTTGACGCAGTGGCTCTCACACACGTGCCCACAATCATAATCCGATGACATGTTATAAGCCACATGCCAAAACATGCCAAAAAACCCGGCAATGATGTGTACGGTCAGGAGAATTTCTGAATTTTGAAAGAATTTGTACCAATCTGGAGCCAGAGCTCCGCTGCCCCATCAGTCACTTGGGGTTTTCTCTAGCAGTTGTAGAGATTATTTCACTACTCCAAAGATGGGCCCAGAAACTCATCTTTCCTGGGGAGAGAGCATGTTTTAAAAGTTACAATTATTTTCTACTCTCCTGAAGTGTGTGGGGGGTGGGGGGTGGGGGAGAGGTGGAGGCATATGCTCCCTTTCCTGATTTTGATTTTGCATAGAGGGAAATAAAAATAGGCTGTAACTTTAAGGAGGTAATAATAATTCTGGGGTCTGTTTATTTATAGGAGCGCTGGATGTATAGTGGTTATGCATTGAGCTGCTAACTGCAAGGTCAGGAGTTCAAACCACCAGCTGATCTGAGGGGGAAAGAAGGGGCTGTCTACCCCTGTGAACAGATAACGGTCTCAGAAACCCACAGGGGCAGTTCTACCCTGTCCTGTGGGGTCACTATACGTCCCTATGCATTAACTGAACGGCAGTGAGTTTTTTATGTTTGTTTATGACACACATGGATCAAAAAGAGGAGCCCGTGGTGTAGTGGGGCCCATGTTAGGCTGTGATCAGCAAGGTGAACAACTGGAACCCACCAGCCGCTCTGCCAGAGAAACATGGGGCTTTCTACCCCCCGAGACCGCTGCCATCTCAGAAACCCACAGGGGCAGTTCTCTGTCCTACAGGGTCGCTGTGAGTCACCATTGACTCGAGGGCAGTGAGTGAGATGGAGTGATCGACCAAAAACATACAATAACTGATAAGTAAATCACTGAGTCCTGGTGGCGTAGTGGGTTACACCCGGGCTGTTAACTGCAAGGTCAGCAGTTCAAAACCACTAGCAACTCTGAGGGAGAAAGATGAGAAAAGTTAGTCTCAGAAACCACAGGGGCAGTTCTACCCTGTCCTCTGGGGTCACGATCAGTCGACTAGACCTGGTGGCAGTGCGTTTTGTTAGGGAGGTGCTTGTTTAGTACTATAACGTACAGGATCGTGGCCTCTGAGGAGGTAAGGGAGGCTCTTTTCTCCACCCTAAGAACCCACACATACAGCACAGTGTCTGACACGTAGTAAGTGCCCAGTGAGTATTTACTGGCTAAATATGAACTCATGTATTGGGGACTTAAAAAGCCAGAGGAGGTCAGATGTCTGGTATCCCAATATGATTTCAGAGCCAACCGTATGCTTCCCCAATGAAGCATCTATCCAGGCCTTTAGCCCTTAGAACATTGTGAAGAGTTGGATCAACAAGCACATTCTCTCGCTCAGAGAATCAATTAGATTGCTGAGCAGAAAGTTCAGAGGTGACAAGATGCACAGACGTGGCTTTGGCACCCTGTTCCAAACAGGAATGGATGTGGCCCGGGGTCCCCAGTGCACAGCACTGATTTTACATTTCCCTGCTTGGTTGTCATTCCCCCTCTCCTCCCCCTACCCACCTGGCCTGGTGGATATTTACCTGGAAGAGAGAAGCCTGCTTCTCTGAGCGGGATGTCCTGTGCATCCAGGGTCCCCTGGTTTTCACTGCCTGAGCGGCTGGAGTCAGCACAGGAAACTTGGCTGCCATGGCTGGTCGGTTGGGTGTGTGCAGCTGCTGCCCCTGCTGCACAATCTGGAGCTTTCTCAGCAGCTCCTGAGGGGAGACCACCCCGGAGGCACCCGTCTGCGTGCAGGACAGGGCGAGTGAGGGCTGTTCTTTCCCAGAAGCCTGATGCCCGAGTGCCTCTGGGAGAAGGGAGCCACTGAAATACACAAGTTGTGGCTGCACCAACCCCTCTGCTGGCGCTGCAGAAGTGGCAGTGGGGAGGGCTGTGCTGAAATTTGAGGCAGCTGAGCTGGTAGGTCCTGGCCTACTGGCACTCTGGAGCTTTCGGGTCCCAGGGCCAGCCTGAGGCTTTCCTAACAGGCTCTGAGTTCTCGAAGCACTTCTTACATGATGAGACAAAGTCCCAGGGTTATGGGGAGAGGCTGGCTGAGTGAGTCCAGTAAAAACATCCCCAACAGGATGGGGACCGCCATTTCCACAGGGCCGGGTCTCGGGCAGTTCTGACAGTGGGTGGAGGTCTGTACTCCTGACCATGAGTTTCTGGATGGCTGGACAGAGCTGCTTCTCCAGCAGAGGCCAGTGTGCTTGGGGTTCCTCATAGGAAAGGGATCGTACAATCCCCTGCCTCCCTGGAAGTTTCGCTTGCTGCTGCAGCTGGTGGAAGGTCGGTGGAGGCTCCAGCCTTTCCTGACAGGTAGCACTGTCTGGTTTCCCAAAGAGCGCCGTCAAGGATAAGTGCTGGCGCTCCGGGCTTAAGGTCTGGAATAAATAAAAACACGTGAGAATGGATGTCGGTAGAGGCAACCTGGCCACACTGGGGGAGGGGCTGCCGCTTACTCAACAGCTAGATGAGCTCTTCTATTTACAAAGCATGAAAAACTTCGTTAGAAGGTTGAAAATGGTTAAAGGGTAAGAAAAAAAAAATCACCTTTTTAATGTCAAAATTTCAAATACATTGTTCTGCAAGTAGTTTGTACTGATCTGAGCACTGCACCCCCCAAATCCATGTCCCCCTGGAACCTGTGGCCATGGCCCTATTTGGATAAAGGATCTTGTGGTATAATCGCGTCAAGGTGAGGCCACACCGGATCAGGGTGGGCCGTGTGAGAACAAGGCTCTCCGTGGGAATCCCTCTTCCTCACAAGAACTTCTGAGCAGCAGCCGGCCCTCCCTGACTAGACTCTGGATACCAGTTCGATTAGGGTCCCTAGAAACGCTAGCTCTGAACCTCAGAGTACCTGGCTGGGCTGAGGTGGGCGCTGCTGCCGGCTGTCACTGGGCTTCACTGGAATCGGTTTGATCAGATTGGGGTTGTCATAGATGGCAGATGAACCAGTCATCTGTTTGGGCTCAGAGCAGGTTTTACACTGAAATGGGAAAAAACACAATCATTTTTTGGTGCTAAAGAAGCTTGCTAAAAGTACATACTTTCTTGTTTCTTATATTTATCTAGTAGATAGATGACTTATTTCTTTGTGATAAATTTGACAAGAAAAAATACTTTCATTTTCTCTGATATGAGCTACATGTGAGTTTAAAGTGAATTAAAATGTAATTTTTCTTACTTGCACAATTCAGTACCCGAAAATATTATCAACATCAGCCTGCAGGACCCGGTGGCTCTTGGTCCTGTAAGGTTACGTATATACTTAAGAAGTAAGTGTTTACATAGTCCAATGCTTGTCAGTATGATAAACCGTGACAGAAACGACTCCTTAAATAACATGCGTGGGCGATAGCTGGCTCTCTCCCTGGCCCCATCCCTCCATCAGCAATTGACTTGAAATTGGAGAGTGGCTGACTATAATTCATCAAAGCAACTAAACCTTTTTGGTTTCCAAACCAAAAAGTTAAGCTAACTCAAACCAGTGATTTATAAATTGCTAATGTCATCTTTATTTAATAAATGACTTTTTGCATAAACAGAATAATTCAAATCTGAGTGTTCTGAGCCATTCACTACAAATTAGAATTTCATAGCGAAAGAGACAAGCTTCATCATTCCCGATGCGGAATCATTATCAGACATTAATCTAACCAACCATGCAATTGGGAACGCAGTAGGGTTCATCATAGAAAGAACACAGCAACGATGTCGACATCTACTTTGTTCAAACACCAAATAAAACGGACTACAAAATGGTTACCTTCTGTACTCTAGACTTTATATAGCCTCGCTCGTTTTAACTGTACAGTCATATGGCCTTGGGCCAGGAAATATTTCATGCTGTACCTGACGTGGGATAAGCTATAAATACAGTCTCGTTTCTCAGGAACCCAAGGCTCCCAATGTGTTTGACAGTCACTGGGAGTGTATTTTCTAATTCAAGGGCATGGAGATAGAGATCTATTATTATTTTGTACATTTGGGTTTGTAAGGTTAACTGTACAAAAGGAACATTAATTTCTTCTGAGCATTCCATCAATGATGTGGATATGTGGCACTGGTATTGATAGGGTGTGGAAGCGTTTGATGACTGAGTGAGTGTTAGTGGCCCAACCAGCCTGGCTTTCCCAGGCATGTCCCATGGGGACAAGACAGAACATAGCTTGAGACAGACTCGCACAAGTGGAGCAGGAAACACTTTTAACTTCTGCTCGCTACTTAAAACAGTTGGCTTGGTGTAGTTTACTTTCACTGAACGACCACAGGGCCATGTCTATTAATTATGTTCGCGGGGTCATTATGTCCCAGAATGTTGGCTTCCAACTACAGAAACACATCTTTCTCTCCCTTCCACAGGCCACATGCACAGCAGCCGTGAGGTTGGGCAGAACCCCCTGACAGTCTTTTCTAATTAAAATGTCACTACCACTGTCCCTGTATCTATGAAGCCATGCTTTCATGTACAAATTGCTCACTATTAAATTGCTCAGAATTAAACATCATCCACTTCGATAGTTTGTAACTCATTTTCCACTTGTTTAGTTTTCTATCTATCTCTGGACCCAAAAGACTTAAAATAATGGGGGAGGGGATAGTTTTTGGAAACGTGTATAATGGTTTTGAACAGATGCATAATGTATAGCCTGAAGCGGTTCTCCAAAGCCTCAAAAACGATGTCATACAATCTCATTTCAATGCGCGCGCACACCCACACACATCATTGCCAAGAGAAAAGTTTAAAATACACTAAAAGGGTAATAGGATGATGGGTGCTTTTTAGTTTTCTTTTCATGTTTTAAAATTTTTTTCTCATAGACCATTGAAAGATATTTGAACCTATTACTTACCATCTTAAACCACAACACACAAAATAGTTGACTTCTGAATACTCAAAGCCTAACTCAAAGTCTATCAATTATACCTGATTCCATTTGTTTGTTTTGTCTTTTCTTATTGAGCTTCGGCTATTCGATTGTTCATTTGCATTTCAACTCAACGTTAAATAGTGAAGGTAAAAGGAGACAATTTGCAAATGAGCATTATTGCTACTTTAAAGCAGATTCAGAGTTGCTTTTCAGGAGAGAAGCTAAATATGGGCCAAAATAAGATTATACAACTATTTTATTTATTTTTAAAAATCATTTTATTGGGGGCTCATACAACTCGTATCACAATCCATACATATATCAATTGTGTAAAGCACATTTGTACATTGATTGCCCTCATCATTCTCAAACATTTGCTCTCCACTTAAGTCCCTGGCATCAGCTCATTTTCCCCCTCCCTCCCTGCTCTCCCCTCCCTC